AATGAACGTGGCTCTGCTGTACAGTAGATACAGAAGATAAGTATCATTGTATACGAAAAATGATTCTGAGCGGGGACTAGTGATGATGAAAACAAGACCAAGACTTTCAAATCTAGATACAATAATGTGTTTTCGGGGAAAAAAAATTTGTTAGACTGCAAAATAGTCTTGTTTTGGTCTTGGTATTGCTAGACCAGTACCTTCTTGGTCTTGGTCTTGGTCTTGCAGCAAGAGTCTTGCGAGACCGCAAGACCAAGGCCAATTTTGATCAACACTAACGGGGATGGTTTTATCAGCCTAGGATATTTTATGTTATGTGCCAAAATATTTTTAATATTTTTCAACTACTATTGTAACTTGTTGTTATGAGGAGCCTTGTATTAAATATTCACCCCTTTAGACCCAACAAACAAAAAAAAAATGAAAATTGAAAATTTCTGTAAAAAAATGGGTCAAAATATTTTGAAACTTTTATCAAGTACAGGAATTGATAAAATAAACATGTAATAAATCTTGTATTACATTTTCAAATCTTAGATTTAAAAAGAACACTTTTTATGATTTTCTAAACTCGATTTCGTGTTTTTACGTATTTTGTTAAAATTCAAACTTTAAATTATTATAAAAAATATTGTGTATTTTTAATATTTTTCAACTATTTTACAACCATAAACGTTGTGAGAAACGTGTCAATGCTGATTTGTCAAGAGAAGAAAAAAACGTTTATATTCTAAAATGTTTGTTTTTAATTTGTTAGAATAATTATTTATGTCTCATAGACATATTTATTTTTAGATTTCCATTCAACTTTAAACCTTAAAGATCTTTAAGAATCATTAAGTCTTATTTTAAGACTTTTGTAAGTGACTTGACATAAAGGACACAAACAATATCCGACTTGACACCTTTTGTACATATGACTTGACATTAATAACACCTCTGATTTGGTTTTATAGAAGTCTGTGCTATTTTTCTATGTTAAGTTTTAAGTTAGTAGGTACTAACCCTTTTACAGAGAAGCTTTTCTTTTATTATACTCAATTTGGTGTAAACAAGCTCCATAAAATCTATGATTGACTGATCAATATATACTTATATACTAATATATATACTAATATATTAGGAGCCTTGTATTCAATTTTCAAGGTTTTCGACCCAGTGAATACAATTTAATTAACATTTATAGAAAAAAAATCTAAAAAAGGTGGGTAAGTGAATGTCGCTCTGCTGTACAGTAGGTTACAAGTGGGTCACTGTAATGGATGGTGTTAAATTTGAATTCAATGATATGATACCATATATAAGAAAAACGAGCGAAGACGGTCAGTTAGTCTATGATATTACCAAATATATTTGATGATATTATTGTGAATAAAGTAATTTATATAATATAAGCTATTTACGTGGAATCTTGTCTTAAATTTTCAATCCTTAGCTTTAAAAGTTGAAAACTTTATAAACTATTAACTACAAAATAATTATTCTATTTTAAATTTGATACATTTGATCGAAATTCGAACTTTAAATGCTTACAAAAAAAATTGTCCAGATGTATTTTTAATATTTTTCAACTGCTATTTTAACAATATATCAGGAGCCTTGCATTAAAATTTTCTCGTTTTTTACCCAACAAATAAAATTTTATTGATATTTGTAGAAAAAAAACTAACAAAATTGAAAACTGACAGTAAACAGATGAAAAAGAGTCAAATTATTTTCAAAATTTTATCTTGTATAGAAAATTCTAATATAAACATTCAATGACATTTTGAAGTATCTACAGTAGTTCGTTTTTTAATTACAACAAAATAAGAAAATCATTACATGAGAAATTACATGAGTGAATTTCAAATGTTCTAAAAATATGAATTTCAAACGCTCATAACAATTTAATTTGACTTTCTTGTAGACATTTTTTTTTTTGATAAAGGTAGAAAAACTTATGAGGAATCTTATATTACATTTTCAAATCTTAGATTTAAAAAGAAAATTTTTCATGAATTTCTGACTCAAAATAATTTGCAAATTTTAGTCATTTTTACGTATTTTGTCAATATTTGAACTTTAAATGCTTATAAAAAAAAATTTTGACTAAGGAATTTTAATATTTTTTATCTGTCTTTGAAACAATATACTAGGAGCCTTCTATTAAATTTTCAAGCTTTTTCAGCCAACAAATAAAATTGTATTAATATTTATAGAAAAAAAAACTACAAAAATGGAAACTGAAAATGTCCGTAAACAGCTCAAAATAAGTCAAAATATTTTGAAAATGTTATGGTGTATAGAAAATGATATTATAAACATTCAATCAAAATGTCATGTACCTACGGTTAGGTTTTAGAGTTGCACCAAAAACCAAAATCGATTTTCTCGAAAACAAATTTTGGGTAAAAATTCCCATTTTTCCTTAATTTTTCTTTTGTTTTTCACATGGCTTTTGAAAACTACTGGAAAATCTTTACTTTTGACCCCCCCAAAGTACCAACTAGATTTACTTTCCCACAGGATAGAATACTATTATTATAAGACTACTAATCGTGTACAGTGTAAACAGCCACAAGTAATAATATAAAAAAAAACCAATCATTGTAAAATCAATACATTCTTCTCACCACTCAGAATCTAAAAGTAGTTAATTATTTAAGTGAAACTTATAAGTACCTATTAAAGTTTAGATGAACGGAGTTGTGTACAAAGTGTGCTTAATACTTTAATCTATTGGTGTAGGTACCTAACAACATTTTTCGGGCTACTCATATAAGTACACCACTCCACTCATCAAAACTTTAAATACTTATAAGTTATAAATGATTAGTTATTAACCACTCAATCGAAATTCAATTTTGGATTCTGAGCCAATTCTGTGTTTAGCATTGAACCACCTATTGATTTTATAATGATGCGGGTTTTAAATTTTTTTGTGCTTTTTTTGTACCTACCTAATTTTACTATAATAGAAAAATACTTGGATTTCGATTTTCAACTTCAAGAGGGGTTTCTGGTAAAAATTGTATCTATTTTTACTTTGTAAGGGTCAAAAGTTTTCAAATTCCCAGTAGGTACTCATTAAAATAATCGGGAAAAAAAACAATGGAAAACATAAATTTTATCTTCAAAGCCGATTTTAACAAAATCAATTTAGTTATTTTTTGTAATTCAAAAATGAACAATTTTAGGTAGTTGATTTTTTTACCAAATATTTATATTAGCATTTTCTAAACATGATATAAGTTTAAAAATATTTTCTTTTCTTTTGTGCTATTTATTATAGACACTTGAAATTTGCAGTTTTATTTTGATTTATGTATGAAAAAATTGTTGTCTGGAAGGAAAACTCCTTGAACATATTTGAATACAAGTACGTAAGTTAGTAAGTAAGTTCATCGTAAGTTGTTATTTTTACTGAAAATAAAAATATTACAAATACATATAGGTACCTAGTCTCAGTTTTTTTTCATAAGCATTCAAAGAACACACGTCGATGGGTAGTCGACAAATTCTAATATTCTATAGGTATCTTTCCCGCGAATATAAACTTATTTTATTTTCATAATATTTTAATCAAAGAAAATTAAGCAATACAAAATATTGAAAATCCATTTCCTACATAACATAGAAACAAGAATAAGGAATTCAATTATATATTCAAAACTAAAATCGGGATTTTGGTACTAGATGAATTTTTCTTCCGCTTTTTGGTACTTTCATGTTCAAACTATTTTGATCTCAAAAAATAGTGACGTATGACTGCGCGTATGTAAGTTAAGGATTTCCAATAATCTTAGCCATAGACCGTAGTCCATCTTTAATTACATAAAGCGTTAGGCGAACTTACGCACTCTAATGATCAGTCACTACACACTAAGTCACTCATCACTCATGATGGATAAAGAGTATTGCCTAAATCCGACCCCTTAAAAATGGTTCAAAAGCCTCAAGATTCCTAACCGTACGATGATATTTACCAAATTTGTGAATGTGAAAGTTGAGTAAATTACAAAACACGTTGCAATTCACTTCATTTTACGGTACTACTGCACTAGTAGGTACTACCTATACTTAATTAATCTTTTTATTCCGCCAGGGAAATGTTATGAAAAAAACCAAAACCCTTCCGCATCCTTCGAACATAATAATAATATGTTAATATATTATAATAGGTACCTATTATGTTATACATATAGTATTATTATATTATATAATATTATTCATTTGTTGTACGACAGGGGTTTTGTTTAAATAGCGAAAGCTTTATCTAAAAATGCATTGTCGGGTCGGCGCACCAACGTACACCATAAAATATAAAATATATTGCAGGTTAATAGCCCATAGGTATAATGATATTGTTATATAATATATAAATCGCGTCCATCGCGTTATCTACACATAGATTACGACGATATCGCTCGTCTCGTTAGCCCCAACTCCCGAGCACAGCGAACCGTATTATATTATTATTGTTAAGATAATATTATGTATTATTAATAGCCACGACTGTTGTTGCCCGTCGTCGTCCCTCTCAGTCTTTGAGGCGAATATTGCGCGATAGGTAGGTAAAACACAGCCGCCGCCGTTGACGTTTCGATCCGTTTCTGTCATTTCCGTTCGTCGATCCGCACCGTCGATCAACCACCTGCCATATTCATTGTATTATTAACAATAATTATAACAATATCATTCGATAATAATATTATTGTCATCCGTTGTGACAGTACCTCCTATGTAGTTGTCGCGCACTGATCTCAAAACGATTATTTATTTTTTCCGCCTTTTTCGGTCGTCGATATAATCATAGTACCTAATACGCCAGTGTAATATAATTCAATCTAATAATAATAATAATACCATACAATATCATAATTTATTGTTTGCGCACCTACTCAGTAAAACCACAACAATCGTCAACGTGTTGCACTTCGTGGTCATCATCCGCCCGCCAGCGATTCGGCGAGCATAATAATATAATAATTTACTTGACACGACGATTTCGGACGAACATGGCCGGCGATGGAAGCATCGATTTCCAGGAAAAGGTACGTGCAGTTGTAGCAATATATTACATATTATTATTATTATTACTGTAATATTGTTGTGTTTAAAACGAATTAGTTAGTTAGTTAGAACAGATTGTTCGTCATTTTTTGTGTCTACACACTTTTTAAATAGGATACCTACACGCTAAAGCATAGCCTAAACACGTGAGGCTTCTCGCTTTTTATTTAAATAAAACATTTTACTGCCAATTAGTCAGTATTCATTTTACCCTCTACATATAATTTTGTAGGTGTACTACACTACACAACTACCCATAGTAAATTTCTCATTATAATATACAGTATGGAGTATTAGTGACAAAAATAGGCCATGGTGATAGTTATTGATAGTTCATCTGTTTGACGGTAAATTATGTTGTATAACAGATCACAATTTCGTAATGCCTACTAAAATAAAGATCATAATAATATTATATTATAGCCCATTGTTCCTACCTTCTTCAGATATACTTTTATGGAGTGCCACAATAAATAATACTAATAAAATTATATGGTTTTTATTGGTAATGAACATGTGGTTTTGGCGTTATTTGTTTATTTCATTTAACTATCAATAAAATATATTTTAATAAATAATTTAATATAATCATCTCGATAAACAAAATAACAAAACTTTACAAACGGCTTGGATACATCGACTGCTAATATATGTTACGTCATAAATCATAACTATTATAGCGACCAAACAAAATAGTTACCTACTCGTACGTATTGACGTATTGACGTCACCGACATACGAGAATCGAACTTATTGGTGTTTGGGAATTGGGGACAGTGTAATGCATTTGACCATCGCCTTGAGTTTCGACATAGGTAGTTTTCATAGTTATCGTTTCGAGTAAGTACTTACAACTTACAAGATAATATTAATATTTGCACGAAATATAGTAATACTAACTAAGCATTTTCTGGGTTTAGGCAGTGTAATAAGATGTATAAACTGGAAGTATAATGTTTAAAGAGATATAAAATATTGGTGTTACGGATTTTGTGCTAACCTACTAATCAGTAATCACTAATCTGTTACAATCAAAAAATTTAAACCAAAAGTCTGTCGTCCCACTATTGTTTGGAATTATTTAGACTATTTTCGTCTTTTATTTTATTACCTGCGGTCTGACACTGACAGATAAAATAAATACGGTCTATGCCTATACGGCAGGCTGTCAAAAACTATAGCGACCTGTACAACCAACGAAAGCACGCGAATATATTTTAGCCCGCTATTTACAGTTGTCAGTTGTCAGTGTTAAGGGTTGGTACCTACGATTTCGTAAACGATTCTATGAGCCTTTTTTTAAATATTATTTTCACCCATCACCGCAGCGGTCACCATAATACCTAGGTATGCGTTTTCACACAAATGTTGAGGCCCGTGACAAGATAAACCGGTAATCGTGTAGGAATTAATAAATAAAAAAAATTCAATGCAACGGTAAAAAAATAAACATAAGTACACGATACAGTGGCATGTATATAAGAATTATTTGCAGTGTGGGCTAATTGCATTTATTTAAAGAGTTGGTGGGGGGGGGATTATGGTTATGACATACACACATGTATTATGGCTTATGAGTTATGACACATAATTTATTTAACCTGCAATTTCGCTTTGGCCGTAGCAAACCAGCCCCTTCCCTATTCACGTCACTGAGTAACGATGTGTTATAAACTTATAACTTACAAATTATAATACGCACAGCCTACAACTACAACTATGGTAGCTTTTTCTAAGTCTCGGATATTTTTATTTTTTTTTAAATCTGGTCTAGTGAATAATAAATAGGACACTGATAGGAAATCCAATACAAATTTTTAACTCAAAATAATTTTTTTTTTAAAAACCGTTCATAATCTCCTGAACAATAATCAATAAACATATTTTTAATTCTCTATCTATTTATTAAATATTCTTATTTTGAATGAAAATCCCCTTCAATAGCGCCCCTATAAACTAAAAGACATTTTTTTCTACAGTTTTCAATTTGAACCCAATAAATAAAAAAATATTTTATAATGTTGTTTTGTAGTAAAGTATGAGATGGTTAAGTTTATTAGCAGTGTTTATTAAAAACAGATTATAAGAATTGTTGTAGTCTTGTTTGTTCCGTAGAAAATGTGGTAGGTACCTAAGAATCTAAGATAATAATATATTTATATATATACACCATGTTTTAAGTTGTAAGTTTATAACCATATTATATCTATCTATAATATTTACCACCGATACCTTTACCTATTTCAAATATAATAGTATAATGTGTGTTTGTCAGGGGTTAAAGTGAGGGAGACTCAGTCCCCCTACCTCTGACGGCGGGTAAAAGGCGTCCCCTTTAACAAATTAGGATGACATTAGACATTACACATAAAATTATATATGAAACGCTTATAACTATATGGAGACATTAGTCCCCTCTGGATTTTTTTTCCCACTTTAACCCCTGGTGTTTGTCAGCTACTCTGTTAGTAAAATTATTATTTAATGTAAATGAATAAAAACGTATAATTGATGTAACTAATAATTTGTATTTTTAAGTCAATAGCTATATTATTGATGTAATTTATATTTTGTCGTGTATACGTGCGTCATTGTGAGAAAGTTCCACCCACACACTTGGCGTACCAACCACAAACTTTGCGTCTCACGATCATATTAAATTTTTAATTAGTAATTACTATAAATTTACCTATATATTACCGTCTACCGACCTCCCACAAATTCCTTCAACGGCTAAGACCGTCTTTTCCGTCCTCGCTCTTCCTTCTCTATCGGCCACGGAGAAACAACTGGACAACAGATTTTTATCCTTTTATAGGACCTCTGAATTTTAAAAACCCAAGTCTTAATTTAAATTATTTAATATTTATAACGTAACCAGCCAAATTAACTTCCCGATGTCGTAAAAAAAAGAAAATTTAAACCTTTATATTGTATTACGGCTGTACGATAGGTATTTTAGTGCATAATATAGGTACCTACTAATATATTATCATACTATAACGAAATCAGCTTTACCTTCGTCTACGAAAAATCCAATTTGCCAGCGCATAAGCTTTTACGATTTTTGCGTGAACCCTTTTTTTATAATTTAATTTTTTCTTGAATGCACTATACAACCCGTCTTGATTTATTCTGTGACACAATAATAATACTATTACCTTAACTCTAAATTCCATAATATCCTAGTTACAAAGAGGGAGGACTCTACAAACGTATAAATTGATCAAAAAACCGTTTACGCACTAAAAATAACCACTTTATTTAAGCGATCATAGTTATAAAACTAAATTTAAACACCAAGTGGATATTTTAACAATATTTGCTGTGTTGTAATATTTTTTTTAGTTTTAAATATTAAACCAACTAAATAAAGTTTATTTTTTAAATTTAAATATGTTTTCAGAAATCTTATCTGATTACTAGGATAGGCACAGTATATCCGGTAGGTTAAAACATTTGGCATAATATAGGTACCAAGATTTATTTTGGTAGAATGTCTTGCAGGGTTCGAATTTCCTTAAGAGGACGCCCTTCGGGCATTTGTAGTCACCGTCTTGCTAACGTGTACAATTTAGAACATTTTACGTTCACATTAATACATTTTACTCTATAATTTCTAAAATTAGAGTGAATTTACCTCTTATGAAATGTAGAGCATCTAGGGCATCTCGGAGGCTTTTATTGATATTTTTATTAAGAAAAAAGTTATTTTTACACTGTACCTACATTTTTTACATATTTTAAAACGATCATAACTTAAAAATAATAATATCAATAAAATCAATAAAATCCTCCGTGATACCCTAGATAATATTCTTACCTTTGAATGTTATAAATTCACTCTAATTTTAGAAACTACCTAGTAAAATGTAATATTGTGAACATAAAATTGTCCATGTTGTACTTTTGTAAGACGGAGACAAAAAATGTCCGTGTGGCGTCCTCTTAAACACATTTGTTGGTACCGATGATTTCTTTTTAGTTGACGGTTTTTTTACACTCTTGTTTTGAGTTGTTTATATTATTGAACATGAAGTTATCTTATTACCTACGTATACAATGACATTTTCAATGATAATTATAATTATAATTTTGAATATAATCAATTTTAAACTAATTTTAAGCTAATGTAGTAATGTCTATGTATTCCATTAACCTATTTAGTATTTACACCTTTCCGCCCTACGGTAAGTTTATATTGACTATAATATATGACATAAATATACTTCATATACCTACTATTATGATAACTATATATACGATAAATGCGATGTTTTCGCAAATATTAATTCAACCTGCCGTGTATTATAAACAGTAATTACTAATTACTATTTGTTACTATAATAGCAATATAAGTACGTTCTTGATTCACAATAATATAATATCTTGTTTATCACAATTTGATAGTACCCTGTCGGCTCCTCCTCTCAATGGTTGTGCATAAAGATTTATTTAACAGTGATCGAATCGGAAAATACCTGCAGCTTTCCGAGAAAATAGTTTTAACTACCAATATGAAGGAAGGTTACGATGGTCGAAAAAATTTACGATACAATAATATTGGCCAAACGATAATAAATAAAAATAATGGAAAGCGAAAAACCTGTGCAGTACCATTATATTGTGTTATCGATCGACATATTTCATTATGAACTTCGTGAAAACATAACCTTTCCATACCTATCAATTATTGCCATTATTTTTATACCGGTTAAGACCGTCGAAATTAGTGTGTCACGAACACCAACTTTTCCACGAGAGCTGTTTTAAATTATCTAATTTGTTAACTTTTGTTAATTATACTGTCAGAGATCAATCGATTTAATTCATTACTTCGGTAAAATTAAACGTTAAAAAAGTCCAGAGTACCCTGTAAAATACCTACTTATAGGCTACTTAGACATGTTTTGTCTTCATATTTTTTGACAAGAGTTTTGATTAACATACAAAAAACATATTTTTTTATAAATAAAAATGT